CCCCCCCCCACACACACACACACACTTTTTGTGGTCGGATAATTTGTTGGTTGTTCTTTATTCATACATGGCCTAGTTCTTTGCCCTGCTGTAGAGCCTGGGCTGTCTCTTGATGAAGGCATGTTTGTGGGTGGCCGCATATTTTTTGGACTTGAATCTTTGTTTGGAGTCATGGTCACGGTATCTTCACGAGGAGGCTCAGAGAGTGTTTGCTGTGGGTGTCACTCCCTCGGGCTGCCCTTTTGGAGCACATGGAAGGTGGCGGTGCTTCCATGGTGTTTTCAGCAGTAGTGCTCCTGGTGTCGCGTGGAGATTCTGTGAATATATGCTTGGAGTTCTGGCCACGGTGTCTTGGCGAGGAGCCTCAGAGAGTGTTTGCTGTGGGTGCCATTCCCATGGGCTGCTCTTTCGGAGCACATGGAAGAAATGGGGACTTCCAGGGTGTTTTAAGCAGTATGGTCCACACGCTGCGTCAGACGAAGCAGCTGCAGTTGCTGCATGTGCAGCAGTTGCTGACTGCAGCATCAGGCCCTCCATTTCAACTCCCCAAGCAATCCACCTCCCCCAACACCCCACCATCACACCTCGCCCACCGTATCTGAAGTTTTTTTCGTTTTTGCTCAGAACAGCCAGAATTTTTTTGGGGGGGTCCCCTAGTGGTGCGCAGACCCCCCCCGTTTTTGTTTTTTTTTTTTCGTTTTTTTTTGGCAAAAAAGCAGTTGTCCGATTTTCTGGATAACTCCCCCCTGACCGTCTCCCGGAGACTTCCGGGGGAGACGTCTCCCCATTGGACAGCTGGCAGCCTAGCCTTTTTCTTTTCTTTTTTTTTGGTCAGGGACCTTCCCTGGCTCTTGCCCGGCCGGCCCGGTTGGTACCGCAGTTTACATTATCAATTTGGCAATATATTAATATATTTATTATATTGTCCTCACACAGGTATACAATGAAACCTTTTTCTTTCCGAGAAACACAGAGTCAGGCTGTGTGGCAGATGCATAGCAGCGATGTAAATAAAGGAAGTCTTTTTAGGGCATACGCACACTAGGCCCTCAAAATCGCAAAATCCCAAAATGGGCGGCCAGATCTAGTCTTTCCCTTACGAGGACTCGATCTGGCCACTCATTTTGCGATTTTTCGGGTTTGAGGACCTAGTGCGAGTATGCTCTCATAGTCTTATAGATTGCAAAATCACACGGACCGTGCGTAATCAAGCGAATTACAACAAATCGCCGATGTTGTACACATTTCATACAGTGAATAATATAGGTTTAGGTCCGAGGTACGCAGGTGTTTCCACAGCTGGCTACCTTAAATTACCCAATCCAAATAGAGGAAGACACATTGTTCATTGTTCTCTCGTACTTAAGTTGATCCTCTGTCGCTCGAATTTGTCTTATTGTATCTTCAACTTAACTTCCAATAGAAATGGGTTTTTGTATGTGCAAGGAATATGAGTGGGAACGATATACAGAAAACCAAGTTGTGAAATCACACAGATGTCCAGGTAGTCGTGTACAAGCAGAGAGCACAAATGCACCGAGATCCCGTCCAAATAAGTGCAATACAATGAATAATGAGCCAATGTTCAAGCCCTCAGGCCACACCAACACGGTATCCGAAGTTGCTCCTCTCTGTCTGGCGCCCAGCGCCCAGCCTACAGTGCCTGACTATCCTACCTACATCAGCATTCTCGCAACAGGCTCACTTCGACTCTCGAAGACCAATGCACATGACGTCAACACCATAGCCGACCTCTTCCATGAACCAGGTATGTATCTCGCTTCCCCTCATCAGACCCTGTCCACCCACACTCGCCCCTTCCTGAAGACCACCGATCGCCCTCTTACCCCCTAGCGCCCTGCAGCCCGGCTATGGCTGCTTGCGCTCCACTGCCCAGCAGCGCCCCACCTCACCACGCACACACCCGCACGCGCTCTCGCCTCAACGCAGCACGCAGCCTCTAACGCAGCAGCGCAGCAGCGTGATCTCATTGCCTGCGCGGGCCAGAATACCCAGGCCCTGGCTGCTCTTCTTCCTATATGGAAGTGGCAGCCCCTGCATTGCTGCCTGTGGCCTGGCTGGAAGCTTCCAGTAGCTTCCTGTTGGGCCCCGGTACCTGCGCCCAGACCCGAGACTACAGTTGAGGGCCTGGGCCCTTTACAGTTGGGCACGGCCTCAGTCTCCAGACTTGGGCCGTTTGCTGCATTTTGCACAGGACCCCGGGGTAGGTACGTGGACAGTACTGCTTGTGCAAAGGCCTGTGGCCACTTCAAGATGTATGGGCCCTGCTTTGTGTGTATGTGCCCAGGCGGAACTGCCAAGGCCTGGGCCAACTGGACGACGCAGCTTAGTGAGGCTCACGCATCCACTCAACCAACTGGCGTGCTGCAAGGGCCTGAATACCCACATATGAAAATTGTCGAATTTTGGTCTCTGATGAATATTCAGGCCCGCCTTCACTTAGGGCGGGCACTCGGCTTACTGGGGGCCTCTGCCCAGAACATGTGTATGTCTGATAGGGGCCCTGTGAGGGCTCGTTCCTCGCATATGTGTTATTTTTTCATACCATTTATTATCAATATTAAATTATTAATTAATAGTAATTTAAATTATTTGTTTAATGCTGTTTCACACTGTTATTTGCATTTCTAAATTCTATACCCCCAGAGTATCAAAATGCAAGAACATTGACTAGCAACTCATTTTTTGTTGATGGTCGAACAATACTGGTTTGCGATCACCTAATATGTCACCAAGCATTTCTTTTTTCTTTTTTTCTCTTTTTTTTTTTTTTTTTTTTTTTTTACGGCCTCTGTTGGTTTCTTTGGCACAGGCTATTGTTATACTATTATTACCATTCGAACGTTCCTCTTTTTTTTTCTTTTTTCTTAAAAAAAAGGAAGGAAAAAAAAAGAACATTCCTCATAGTTCCATGCAGTGTGTGCACATGATTTTCGTATGGAGATTCAAATTATGCCCCCTCAGTCCCCAAGGGGGCGGCAAGATGACCACAGCAGACGCATTGAAAATGTTGGCGGATGGCGAGGGGTGCAATTAGGCCCTGTATCTGAGTTCTCTTGTAATTGTCTGTGATGGCAGGCTTCAACGCTGCTCATGACGGCGATTTTGATCCCTTTGGCTCGACCAATGGTGCGCATCCTATTTGAGAGGCGGGCATTTGACGCAGCAGCGTCAGATCTGGTTTCGTCATTATTTGTATGCTGTATGTGTCTCTGGCTGCGTTATTTTTGCCCAACTGGGCCAACTCCTATGTGCTTCGCCATTTTTTTACCCTCTTTTTAGTTCTCCCATTGGTAAAAATATACCACTGTTTTGCATTTTCTTTAATTTTTTATTTTTTTCACTATTTTTTTTTATGTTACCTTCTGCATCTGGGGGGCCCACGTGGATGAGCGCAATGTATGAAGGTTCAGAAGAGACAAGAGGAACTTCATTTGTTGCTTACCGAAGCAAAACCCATGACAGGGATGATCTAATGTATGTGATGTTGTGAGCTGAGCTCCAAAACCTCCGCTGCACAATACCAATATGAAACGGTTTGCACCTTCGAGGTAGCAGCAGATGCAGATCCCAGGGCTCGATCCCTAGACCTGTCCCGATCCCGTGTACAGTACAGTTTGCCCCATCTAGATTTGAACCCGTGACCTGCCTCTAAAGTTGTTTAGTCGAGGCTGTTGCACATACGAGGGTTGAGTAGATTTGAGCTGCTTACCTGTAGGGTAGAAGTCGCAGCGTGTGTCAAGTGGTAGCTGCTGTAGGTCTGAAGAGTCAACCTTAGTCGTAGCCGCTACAGTACCGAAAGGTCAAGCAGGTAGGTCAAGAGTCTTCTAGAACTGCCCCTTCGAGAGTCTTGGAAGCAGTCTGTAGGCAAGCGGGCAAGTGGGCAAGTGGGCAAGTGGGCAGACTTACCAGGTCCAGTCAGCGGTACCCAGTCCCAGTTGCACCTTGTCCAGTCAGCAAGTACCATGTGGGACTGTGTGCACCCTAGGCCCGATGGAAAGGAGCAGACCAGCGACCAACTGAAGTATAAATCAAGAGGCAGCGTCCAGTTATTCATTCATTCAGACTGTGAGCCGTGCGGAAGCGCTGCCTGAGCGACTTGTTCAAGGAGGTCTGCAGGTGCCCGAAGGAGAAGTGGGCTGTGACGGAGACGAAGCGGCCATAGCCGCTAGTTAGTGGAAGAGGTAGAAAGCAGCCATAGCTGCTATAGGTTAGAGATAGGCTATAATGTATATGAGTGTGAGTGTTCAGTGAAGTGTATGTGTGTGTGGGATTTCCAGGGAGATCCAGAGTAGCAGCGTGTGTGTGAACAGTTGCTGAGGATACAGTGTTGGAAGGGTGTTGTGAGGGCGCACAGGTGCCATAGCGTTTCGAAGGAGGTTGAATCTGAACAGTGTTCTTGGCCACGATATTTCTGAGCTTTGTGCGGGCGCCTGGCGCCAGTGTGATTCCCATCTGTTTTCATGCATGCTGAGTAAGGAAGAAGACGAGTCTGGTTGCAAATAAGGTAGCAGAAGTTGTAACTACCTGAGCCTTGCGCCTAAATGGTAAATCATCCGTAGCTGGTTTTTTTTTTTTTTTTTTTTTTTTTT